TCCTTGAAATAAACATCAAAGATGGAATAGATTCAGAATATGATAATTTGGCCAATGTCATCAAAAGGGTAGTTAGAATATCATGCAGGACAGAAAAGTCAACGAGAAATCAGCGCTTCAGCCCTTCGACAATGCATCTAATGGCTAGAAGGGCTGAACTGAGGGGTTGGGGAAAAATGCATAACGTGTTCATTCCACCTTGAAAAGATATGCGAAAGAAGTTGAGAAAAAAACTAAGAAAATTTCAGGCAAAGAGGCTTACTAGATGCTACAGAGCGGAAGGAAAGCCTGGAAGTGATGGAACGAGATATTCGCCTAAAACGGATATGGATTCCGAACGCGCTGTAAAACAAAGCAGAGCAAGAACTACTAATCACAATCCAATTGACGCGATCTGTACAAAGTTTTACAAAACTCTGTACTCTGCCAAATCAGGCATGAATCGAAAGTTGTCTCATGTTGCTCACGAAGTTGTTCTCGAAGTCACGTGGGAGGAAGTTAAATGGACAATCAGAAACATCAGAAATCACAAATGTCCCGGCCAAGACCATGTAAGACTCGAGCACCTTAAATCAGAAGGAGCTATCCTGATTAAGGCGCTTGTCAAAAGTTTTACTGAATAAATTAGACAAAACAAAGGTGCCTATTGTATGGTGGAACAATTTTGTCCCTGATGAATGGTGACTCTGATGATCTACCGACCGAACCATTATACTTCTGTCAAAAATCTACGAAAATTAGTTCTACTAGAATCCGATTTTATTGTAAGTCTTTAAATGACAATATCTACGATAAACGGCGAAACGTATTCCTAGTATGAATAAAGGCCGTTTCGTCTCTATCAACTTGGACAGTGTTTCGATTCAGTCATCAAAATTGCCTCAAGATTCCATGTACCAATATCCAAAATTTTCACTATCGGTTCATCCGCTTTATTTATATAATTGTCTGGAACTCGAATTTTCCATTTTCTTTGACAGGGCTAAAAATATTCAATTTTTACAAATCATAATCAAATACGTCCAGCAAAGTAGAGAGCATCGAGTATCGAGCAGACATTTTCATATGCTGCAGCAGCCAGTGTTTTGTATCAACAACATGTTGGTTAAATCGCAGTTGAAAGATTGCTAATGGCTAAAGTGTCATTTCTGTCATAGTTATCTTTCAACAGCTTTCAGACTGTTTTAAGCTCATGGCGATTGCAATGAATAAAACATTTAAGTTTATTTAAAGAGAAGCTGAAACTGAGTGCGACTAATTCAATTGATTGTCATTTTTTACTGCTCAGGCACAGTGCAGATTACCTCAAAAGTCTATGCAGAGCATCGACCGTCAGAGAATTGATCTTTCGTATCGTATGATAGCGAAGTAAAGATTGTAGTGTTTCTGATTGTATGGTTAGTGACGTGGGAAGTGGCAACAATAGCGAAAGGCATGATTTTAAAGTAAACATGGAGCTCCAGATGCAGGTTATGTGCCTCTTAGATCTTGGATACTCGAATGACATTTCTGCATGATCACCTGCAGAAATGCGTGACAACAACAGCCATAAATTCTTATAGTTTCTGTGGCCCTGCAATGCTGAATTCTGTAGGTCGTCATCCGCTTCATCAACCTCTGTTGATGCGAGATTTGGACCATTATAGACTGATGTTGTCGAATCACCTCGTGGACACGATTTATCGACCTTAAATCCGACGCCACAATCCGAGTTTGTTGCGATACCATCCAACACTTTGATCAACTGCTAAATTAGAAACGAAAGGTGGGGGACGAGAATTGCACTCGTTGAATTTGCATATGAACGTAATTTCAGACCTTAGTCGATAGGTAGCATAATAACACAAATTAAGCAAGTAATCGCACTCCGCTGCAACAAAAATTTAAAATTTTAAGCGTCTAGAGACATGAGAATTAACGACATCATTACTCAGTTTTAAAAGGCACTAGTGATTTTAGATGTGAAATGAGATCCTGACTTCTTCTGGAATAATCAATTTACTGTTAGAAAAAAAAGATTTATTTTATGACAGTTTAATGTTGTTTTTAAGCTTATGTAAGCTACCTCACTCAATTTAGGGGATAAAAAACTACTGAGCAAGATTACAGACACAGGTCATTTGTCTCTTTTATCGAAAAAACTCACTGCCAAAACGATCAGGTATTTGCTGATATAAGCGGCTATCAAAGGATTGAAATTAACTTGCGTAACGTTTGCAACTGTAATGAAGTAAGAATAAAATAAATATTCATACGGTAACCTTGCGGCCGTCGTTACAATCGTGGTAGATTTTCAGGTATGGATCGATGTTTGTAAATTCGCTTTCAGTGCCATCAAGAAGAAACTCGCCGTACTTATCCGTCTTCTTTCTGTCCATTTCCTCGTCTGGATCAAGACCTAAGATTATCACATTTGTCGTGTTATGAAGAAATAACTTGCTGAAGATGTACCCATAACGAACCTGACTCTAGATTATTTCCGCTCCTTCTAACATAAAGTTAAAGCCCTTTTCAACCGTCTTGTGGGCAGCTTCTGCTTGGCCAGATCAAAACGTTACACCAGCGATGTTTTGGACACGTCTTGCGAACGCAAATGTAGAAAGGAAGGCAAAAAGGCCACGACCTCTCTAGCCACCAGCCGAGACCTCGAGAACGGCCAAGAATGACCCGAGGCAAGAGTTTTCACAGACTTTGATCAAGACTCAGGTTTTCTCTTGATGAAGCTCAGACGCTAGTGCAGGATAGAGAACAACAAAAATCCTTTCTTATGCAACTACCTTCGTGACCCGAAAGGATAATCATTCATCGAAACTATTGACTAAAATTACAGCACATTGCATATTACACTAGGCGCGACTGCATACCAGTCAGATTTCCTGCTTATTATGCAATGAATGCACAGATTTAAGGGTTCTTTTACTGTCCAGGTCTGATGGACGTGTCCAGGTCTGATGGACGTGTCCAGGTCTGATGGACGAGCTAGGTCGCATTTAAATATCCCCAAACAGGAAAATCTCAGAGAAAGAAGTGGGGCAGCACTTCAGGCAGCTGAATTAGCGTCATTCAGCTCATTTTACATTTTAATGGATCATCTACATCCCCTTTAGCCACTTTTCATACCTCAAATCTTTCCTACCCAAAACACTTTACTGCACACCTTGTTTAGTCATGAACATGGCAGTGTCTCTGTATAGTCTAAGGCAAGTCGCACCTCAACATGAAGATGTCAATGCAGCACCAATTATTGCTACGAAACATGGGTCCTATTTAATTCAAGAGGAATTTAATTTTAATAAGTGTTTCACAGTTTGTACCCTCCTCAAATTTCAACTCAGTGTCCACGTTGCGAAAGACCGATAACGATTAAAGTAATTGATCGAACGTCATGGTGAAGTCAGATTGGGTATATTTTTTTTAACTGTAAAGCGACCAGTCATCAACCATAAAATATCCAAATTAAGGGTTTGGAAATCCTTTTCATGCGTATCAGGCAAATCAAACTAAAAGAAGGACACTTTGATAAATAATTCAGATGGAAGAACTGTAGACCAGCATAAATACTAATCCCCGAAACTGACTCACGATATCTTGCCATTACGCTGTCGATGGATGAATGATAATGACTGAAAATCTGAACTATGCTTGATGGACGTGGAAAGACAGAAAAAAAGTAAAATCTGTCATTTGGATCGTGAAGGCCTGTACAAAGTTTGTGTAATGATGTTGTCTGACCATGCAGGTCAGTCTATCCCACCTGAGCGTTCCCTCTGATTCATTCATTAGAAAGTAATTAGTTCATGTTGAAGAGCAATAATACTTTCTCAGTCATGTAAGAATGTCATTATTACAAAATTCCTGTTATGCTCATGCATAAAATGTATTCAGCAATATAGGGCATTGCTGAGAATAATATGACATTTTGCTATATAGCATTATTTGCATTTGGGTAGCTCGTTGATAGTGGT